AAACCGAATCGAACTGAAATCTATTGGTTTGGTTTCAGTGATTCGGAAATGAAACCGAACCAAACCTGTAAACCCTTAAAACGACGCCGTTTATATTGTGAGGGACAACGAAATTATTATGCTGCATGCTTTGCCTTCCTGTTGTTCCTAGACAAAGCTACTGGGTTCGCTTGGAAATCTATTTAAGTTGAATCTTAGTGTCACTGTTGTAGATTAAGTTGGCTTCTTCTTGTAGGTTGTAGTTTCTGTTTTTTACCTTTTCTTTTTGCGGTCAGCTGCTTGTTCTGCATTTGAAATAGGGATGAGGGTTTGAGAGGTTTCGCAGTGCAAGAGTTTGCGCAGAGTAAATTTGTGTGTTGATTTGAAGGGGTTCACTGTTTGCCAAGCATCATTGATAGGCAAGGCACGGCTTGGATGATAAGCAGAACAATTTCGGTTGTACGTGAAGACTTTGTAATGGAAATATTCTGAGAAAAGCACCGACCACATGCATATTTGGATAACAAGTAGGGATTACTAGAAAGAGTGCCCGAGAGGTATTGCGGGTTTTGAAACTGTATAAAATATGTAGAAAAGAGAAAATGGGTTTTGTTTCTTCACTTTGTTCCTCCTTTCTTCTGATACGTAGGTGCTTTGACACTTCCATGCAATTGGAGGCCACTTGATAACTCTGCATGCTAATCCATCTCTTCCCGACTGACTTATATACTTTATTCCATAACCAAATTGGTTGGATAGTCACAGAAAGGGATTCTCTTCGAATCTCTTTCTCCTAATTCATCAAGTTCGGGGATCTGGACCATTGAAATTTGATCAAACGATTAAAGTTATTATAACTTTTAAAGTGGCTCCCTGTTTATAACCATTAGATTAAATTTCAACAACTCAGATTCCCAAACTTGATGAATTAGAAGGAAGAGATCCGAACATAATCTATTTCCGATAGTCACACACGGATCTTTTCATTTCCAAAACAATCACTTGCTTTTTTCTTCAATGCCCATATGCCTTACACATTGCAAATGCCGTCCTATCCAATTTGCTGTTGGAGTTCATCCTATTTGCATACACTTATGCATGCACTAATTCCATGATTTCTTCCATCCAATCACTTGCCATCCTTGTCAAATGACAAGGCCAAAGAGGGAACAAATTGTTGAAATGTCTCATATCGATCGTAGTTATGAGAAAAGAAGAATTTAAATATAGTAACCCTACTTCAATTAATACTGAAGTCTTTTGTGATAAAATCCTACGCCTAACAGATTGTACAGGTGGTAACTACCCAATTGGAGACAATATCAGTGTTGTTGGAAGTAGGCATTTGGCCCATTTATTTGATAATTCTACACAAATCTATCTTACCGTCAAGTTGGAGACAATATCAAATTATTGGAAGTTGGCATTTGGCCTATCTCTCTAATAATTCTACACAAACCTATCTTTCAGCTCCATAAAAATAGGGAACTTTCATAAAAATGGCTTGGGCTAAGTTTATTTTAATAAAAAAAAATTATAAAAAATAAAAAAAAAAAACTGATGTTTATGAAATTTACTACACTGTTTATAAAACTTAACAGTACTATACTGTTTATGAAACTTAACGACACTATTTATGAACCTTAACGATACTACACTATTTATGAAATTTAACGGTACTACATTGTGTGTATACTTTTTCTTTTGCCTTAAGTAGGTACGAGTGAAATTTACATACATACATATATATATATATATATATTATTTATTATACACATGAAAATACACCTTACGAGATTATAGTACTAGACGTGTGTTTGTGTTATTTTGCTTTGTCAAAGGCTATAAGTTTGTGAATGGAAGTGACATGTTTTGCAATGCAAGATTAAAATGAATTCCAAGTATTGTTGAAAGATATTGGATGATCAAGCATCTGTGATATTGGAATAAAAATTTGCCAACTGAAAAAGGTTGTATCCTGTAATATATGAGGCAAGCCAATTTCCTAGAGATTGATGTAGACATCTGATCATCATTTGTGGTGGGCAGTATCATCTTTGCGAATCATCTTTGATTTTTATCAAAGACTTGATCGCTGCAATGCTGAGGAAGGAAGGTTTTTGGTTTGGTGGGGGGTGTATTGGTGGGAGGCGCTGGGAAAATAATTTTTTTTAAAAAAAATCAAAAAAAAATAAAAAAATCTCTGGTCCTTATCATTAAGTAAAAGTAATTAGGTGGTTTTTTGGTTAAAATGCAAAGTTTTAAAACTTTTTTTATTAGTTTTCTTTAAAAAATATGCAACATAGGCATAGAAACCCGGAAATACAACCCTATACTGCTTGCTTCCCAGTTAGATATATATTTTGCATACCACTTATCTTGTAGAAGAAAATGTCAAGATAATTAATATTAAAAGATAATTTATGATTAAAAAACCATAATATTATCTCTTAAAATAACAAGATTATCTTAATTTTTCATCCAGCATTTTAAAACTCTACTCACTCAACGACCTCAATTGCTGAGATCAATAAAAGAAAAATCGGATCCACACATTGCTCCTAATTTTCTTGAGCTTCAGCCCGTAAGTCAATGGTTGAGGAAATTATGCTTTACCGCCCTTCAACGGATCCACCATAGTCGAGCATTCATAAAACGAGACATAAGCTTCGGCCTTTGGATATTTTAATGGCCGAACTCCGATCAAGGTCCAAAATTTAATGCGTTTGACTGCCTTTGATGTCACATGACTGTAACTTGAAGAACTCAATTATGACTTTTGACCAGAATCAGAACTCGCCGAATAGAAAATTTGTCCACTAAGCCACGTCATTCTCGGTGACTCCATTAATTCCATGTTGTTGGCAATGCTCGGGGAGTTTAGCTCAGCCAGGCAATGCAGCTCTTGGATTGCTGCGGAGATCGAACACTGAATCTGTCGTTTTCGTATATTGGTTGAGGTTTGCGGTTCGGTTCTTAAGAAAAGTTGTACAGTTGACATTATACACTTATCTAAGCACAAGACGGTTTTATTTTTTACATAATACATTAGTTAATGAAGTCATGTCAACAATTAGTGCATTAAGTGAGGATATTTTGATAATCTACTTTCATCTAAAATTGGGACAATAGCAAACTTGGAGCAAATGATGAATTATAATATTTTAGTGTGGTTGAGTCCATCTAAATGTATGGACTCTAACAAACAACCAATTAAAACATGACATCTAATATGAATATTTAATTAAATGTTTATTATATTTGCAGTGCAGTTCGACCTTGGTGCAATTTTCAAAAGCCAAAACTGAAACCAAATCGTTTTCCTAACCGAACCGTTTCAAAACCGCAAAACCAAACTATTTTGTGCGGTCCGATTTGATTTGTGTTTCGGTTTTGATTTTCAATTTCAAGTGTCCACCCTTTAAAACAACAGTCCTAGAAGCAAGAATGCATTTCTAGACTAAAGAATGGTTTTGTTTATATTTAGCTTTTGTTTGAGCTCAAATTAATAAATTTTGGGCCAAGTGAGTTGTGTGCTTGGCCCATGATTAGATATCTCAGCCTAGTCCAGAATATTTTGGTCGAGTTCGAGTCATGAAGGGTACTTGGATTTTCTAGATGGGTTCGGTCAAGGTTTGATTCACACTAGGAGTCCTCAATAAGCAGGTAAATTGAGAATATTCTTTGAATTCTCAAGAATATTCGTTGAATTCTCGAGAGTTCAGAATCCCCAGACTAGTAGAAGTAGTTGAGTTCAATCCGTATGAAGAGAAATATGTTGAGGAAGTCTAGTCCTAGTAGGATTTTATCTCTGCCTTGAGCAAACTCTCATTCTTGAGAAACCATTGACCTTTCTAACTTCGTCAAGCACATCTTCAGTTAGTCTTAACAGCATTGTGGTTGACAATCAGCGGCACCTTAGTTAGTCTTAATAGCACTGAAGTCGTAGAATTCGCACCATATATTGAATGTTATGTTTTAATTAGTTCAACTACACTACTCATCCAATTTTGCACCACTATTCGAGTCTATACATGATACATCAGTCTGTCTTTCTCTTTCTCAAAACTCATCTTCATCTCTCTCTCATCTTCATCTCTTCCACAGTTGACATTAGTGCCCTCGGTGCTTGCATCTCTACAACTTGGCTGCTTGCATCTCTGCGACCTCACTGCTTGCATCCCCAGATCCCCTTCATCTGCAAGCCCTGAACTCTACAAATCAAAAGCTTTGCAAAACAGACTTGGCAAATCATTCACCTGTTCTTCATTCTAGCTAATATGGTAAGAACTTAGAACTTGTATTTGTTAGTTTAGTTAAGAAATTTTAATTAAATTAATTTTAGAGTTAGGGTTCGTTTGAATCAAAGATTCAAAAGGGGAACTGGGTTAGGGTTTATAATTAATTTTAGGGATAGGGTTTGTGAATCAAAAGGGGAACTAGATTAGGAACCACCCAAGTATCAATTTAAGTTCTAAATTATTAATTTCTTTAGGAACCGCCCTCCACTGTTTTCACCTGCTTCTCTTTGGATTTTGTTTTCTTTATTTACTCATATCTTCATACCAAGTCGTATTGTACTATATTGCCTTGATTTGGTTCAAAATTGTCTTGTTTAGAGTTTGCCAAGTATCGTAATTAAAATTTAATATATTTAAAATCTGCAAGTATTCTAAAACACATGATAGAATATGTATGAGTACATGACCTGTCAATAATTTAAGGAAATAGATGTGCTAGGAGCTTAACAATGCTTATCTTGATATATAACTTAAACAAATTGTGCTTTATGAAAGATGTATACATATATACTTTCTTTAATGCTTATGTGTTGTAGATTGGTGCTACAGTTGCATATGGTTAGACAAATCGGGTAAGTATTAAATCATATGGTGGAAGGTGAATGGTAACAAGTATCCTATCTTGGGCGCAATTGCAAAAGATATTCTTGCAATTCAAGTTTCGACCGTGACATTGGAGAGTGCTTTTAGCACCGGTGGTCGAGTGATTTTGGATTTTAGGAGTTCTTTAATTCCTAAATCGGTGGAGGCCTTGATATGCATGCAAAATTGGTTGAGGGGCTATAACATTATTACTTTGGAAGATGATGCACCTTCGATTGACCACATTGAGTTCTATGAAAGTATTGAATTGGGTAAGTATATCATTTGAAGTAAAAAAACTTTCTTTGTTTTCTTTTTTCAACTAAACATTAATTATATTTTTTATGTTTTGTATCGTGTAGAGTTGGCCAAATCGGCTTCAAGCATTGCCTCTCTTACTCTTGATCCACAACCACAACAAGCTCCAAAGCAATCTCAAGGTTCTAGTCCATAAGAACCTCCATTTTTGCGTTTACAAGATGCAACTTCACAAGTATTGCCTTCTTAAGCCCGTTTACAAGCTCAAAGGCCTCCTAAACCTTTGAAGAATAAGTGTCCAAAAGGAAAAGCAAAGGCAAATGTTTGAAACTTGAACGATGCAAAGTAAGTTGAAAACCAAGACTTTGTTAAATTCCATGAACCATTTATTTTTTTTGGTTGTACTAATGCCATAAGGCATTTTGACATTGAACTTTGTTTGAAACTTTGAAGTTTGAACCTTAGTTGTATTATGGCAAACTTAACTTTTCAATTGGGTTCTAGTAAAGTATTGTGATTGGTGATCAAGTTGAATTTTAGTAGATGTGATGCACAAGGATTTAAACCCATTGATGCATTGGATGTTGTCTCAATTTTAGTAGTTGTCATTTGCTGCAGTTTTGGTACAGGTTTGCTTCTGTTTTTTGCTACTGTTTTTTTGCAGTTTTGCTGCATTTTTGTTTACTTCTCACACACCTCTTATTAATTTATGTCCTTTGATCTTATTTAATTCATCGAATTCGACGGTCGAAAATAAAAAAGGTGTGTGAGAAGTAAATAAGGTTTGATCTTAATTTATGTCCTTTTTACTTCTCACACACCCTTTTTTTTGTTGCTATTTTTCTATAGTTTTGCTGCATTTTTATGGTGTTTTTATGATGTTTTTTGCTGTGGTTTTTCTGTTGTTTTGCTGCATTTTTATGCTGTTTTGCTGCTGTTTTTTTCTGCAGTTTTGCTACATTGTTGTTGATGTTTTTGTTACAGGTTCATTAATTAATATATGAGAAAAATAAGACCGTCTTATGCATAAATATGTGTATATTTTAAATTGTACATCTTTTTCTCAAAAACAGAACTGAACAGTTTGGTTTTATATCAGTTATGGCTTCAAAACTGCACTGAGCTACATCGCAAAAAAATTTAATTTCGGTTGCAGTTTCACTCGAAATCACATCGAATCGTCCACCCCTACAGTATACAACGATGTAAATTTCGGAGGCAGATTCTCTACCCTCTCACTTCCTGTGCTCTCCTATTTTGTGTGGTCACAGTTAAACCATATTAATATTTTATATTGTATTTTTTATAGAGATAATAAGACAAAAAAAAATAGTAATATAAAATATTAACGTGACTTAACCATGATCATACAAACAGAATGATGCAGGATGACACGAAAAGTGAAAGGAGAGAATCTTCCTTTGTAAATTTCGGGCAAGTTCCCACTAACCAACCATACCAATATCCAATTATTCATGCCTGCTGGCTAATACGGACACAAAATAATTGTCAATAAATAAATAAAAAAAACTAGTACAAAGACAAACAAGGAAACATTTATCATAGTGGTGGATTGTCTGTTATCTTATTTTCTTACTCTTTTCATGTCTTACTGTTTATGTGATCACGATTAAATCACATTAATATTTTATATTCTTATTAGTTTTTATTTTATTATTTTTATAAAAAATTAATATAAAATATTAACGTGATTTAATCGTGACAGTACATTACAAAAGATATGAAAAAAAGTATGAAAATAAAATTACAGACAACCCACCTCCTTTATCATGCGCCCTTAAACTCTCAACTTTTTTGACCTATCAACTCATATTGAATGATTCCCCGTTACCCTTAGTCCATCCTTCTCTGTGCACCTACCACCACATTCTCCCAAAATTAAAAATTAACATATTTCTTTACCTTTTCAGCATTACTTATGGTGATGGGTGACCTGACCTTCCAACAAAGACTAAACAATGATAAGAAACGTACCACGTTTATAACATGCATGGCTGCTACTTTGTCGCTAAATTTTATTTTGAGTAAAGTACAAAAAAAATACCTCAATTATTAGTTTTAATACACATTCATACCTCATCTTTTTAAAATGACAATGTTATACCTCATCTTATGAAATTATGTCAATGTCAGACCTCCGTTAGTTTTTCTGTTAAATGCTGACGTGACCAAAGATGTTAAAAAAGTAAAAAATATATATTTTTAATAATTAAATATTAAAAAAATTAAAAATTAAAAAACTAAAAAAATTAAAAATGGCCTAAGGGATCCGGCCTTCCCTTCCACCCGCACCAAGCCTTTTTCTTCTTCTCTTCGACAGCCACCAAACCCTTCCCGGTTCCCCCAACCTTCCTCCACCACCCTCTATCTCTCTCTCTCGCTCTGGGATTCGATCTCCCTCCTCTGTCCCTATCCTTACACGCACTCGTCTTTCCCTCACCATCACCTCCCAACCCGGCCACAGATTGCTCCCACCATAAAAATCATAACCCGACCCATCCCTCCTTTGTCCCGCGACCAATGAATGCTCCGGCGACGGAGTAGCCCAAGAAGGAAGAAAAGCTGATTAAGCAGACGAAACCTAGGACTTTGAAAGAGAGGAAGCCACAACAGCCCAAACCCAAAACCAAAACTGCCGCTCATCCTCCATACTTTCAAGTACTTGGATTCGTGATCTCAGATCATGGTTTCTTTATTTTCTCCACCAGCATTTGCTTCTGGGTTTTGAATTTTGGCTGCGAATTTTGTTTTCAGAAAATAAAAGAGGCACTTTTGGCTCTGAACGAGAAGAGTAGGTTGAGTCCGTACACCATATACCAAACCCACACCAAGATCCCTCCTCTGACCTCTATTTTTCGTCTGATTCACCGTCGACCCCACACCTCCTCCGACCTCTCTCCGTCTCTCGACCTCTCGATTTCCTCCTCTTCTCGGCTGTTAAAACCCTCCTCCTCCTTCCCACCTCCGCTCTCTTCGCCTTCAAACCCTCCCCTCGTTCCCACCGTTGTTCTCCTCCTCGGTGTCGATGGTTGCAGAGAGAAGAGGGAGTTAGAATGGGAGAGAGATGCATGAAAAGATAAAGAAAAGAAAGAGAGAAGGGTTGGTGCGGGTGGAAGAAATGAAGGCCCGCATCCCTAGGCCTTTTTTATTTGTTTAATTTTTTAACTTTTTTTTTAATTTTTGAATATTTTATTATCAAAAATATATTTTATTATTTTTTTAATCCAGTTGGATTAGTGAGTAAATCATGTCTTTGGCCACGTCAGCATTTAACAAAAAAAGTAACAGAAAAACTGATGGAGGTCCACAAATTCGTAAGATGAGGTATGACATTGTCATTTTTAAAAGATGAGGTATCAAAGTGTCTTGAGACTAATAGTTGAGGTAATTTTTTGTACTTTACCCGTTTACTTTTTATATATTTTTGTTAATTTTCAGCATTAGTTTTATTTAAATCGTTTGATTTGACGTCGAAAATCACTCTTCTAAAAATCTCAGCCTAGATGCTAGGCCGTTGGTCACCGTCCTAATTAATGCTTAGGTGCTTGAAAATTAAGAAAATGCGCCTAAACCTGCTAAGGCACCCGCCTAGACCGCCTAATCACCCGTCTAGCCCGTCAAGACCCGACTAGACACCTGCCTAGATTGTAACTCACTTAGATAGAAAATAAATAACTTTCCTTTTGCATTTTATTGTTTCCAATAAATTGTAAGAGATTTATTGAACACTTAAATAAATACACATTATATGTTTGCTCCCCATGTTTGCATTATATTCTAATACTTCATAATATATATGTCATTTTATTTTCTAGTTTATAATGAAATTATACATATTTTAAGTATAAACAGACATTTATTTACACGAAATACAATATATTTACTTAAATCCACCTAGTCCTCCTAGGCGCCCGCCGCCTAGGCGCTAGTGTCACATCCCGACCCGGGTCCCCACCACAACCCGGGCTCGACTCCACCATAGCACGATATTGTCTGTTTTGGGCCCCGACCACACCCTTATGGTTTTGTTTCTGGGAACTCACACGAAAACTTCCCAGTGGATCATCCATCATAGGAATGTTCTCGCGCGCTACTTGCTTAACTTTAGAGTTCCCATGGAATCCGAAGCTAGTGAGCTCCCAAAAGCTCCCAAATAACACTACTTAATAATAATATGTACAAACGTTTAAGAGGTGAAACTTTTGTATGTATTTAGAAAAAAAAAATTGCATGCAATTAGAATACTTGATAACTTTTCGGGTTATAAGATAAATAAACATTAAAATTAATGTGTCTTTTAAAAATAGTTATTTTATATTACGATCTAGTGGTATTTCTTTTCAGTTGTAAGTGTGAGGTTTTTAGTTCGATTTTTTACAAAGAAAAATTTAAATCACATTATTACTAATTCATTATGAGACTAAATTCATCTTCTCGTAATATAGATAATATTTTTTATTTAAAAAATATATATAATAACAAAAACATAAAAACATGTTTTATAATTTAAGTGAATTATAACAATACCTGTCAATAATATTCCAAGTGCGGCAAGAAATCTATCCCTTAAGACAACATGCGGAAAGTACTCGGCAAAGAGAAAACTGTGGAATTACGTGACGTTTTCAGTTTTATATTCACTTTTTTCTTTGGCCCGAATTGTCAATGTCAATCAACATGCATGAACATAGAAATTAGGCCATTTAATTAAAGGACAAGATTGTCTACTCTTCCTATTCCTGTGCCTTTCCGTGTTCTTCTGTTTTGTGTGGTCACAGTTAAGTCACGTTAATATTTTATATTATTTTTTATAGAGATAATAAGACAAAAATAAATAGTAATATAAAATGTTGACGTGACTTAACCGTGACCACACAAACAGGAGGACACTGGAAGTGGGAGGGTAGACAATCCTTATCCTTAATTAAAAGAGTGGTGAGCAACATAGAAAGAGGATTCTCTCCGGATTTACTTCACGGGGATTCTAAAGATCATTCTAGTCATTTATCGTACATTGTATAGTCAGTTTTCGTTAAGTACTATTTGTGTTTAATTTTAAATAAAAAAAAGTCAAATGATTTCTGATCACATGGTGTACGATAAATGGTTAAGATCCCTAGGATCCCCACAATTTGGATCCGGATGGGATCCAAATCCAGCAACATACTGAGTTGA